GATATAAAACAAGGCAACACCATTTTATGCTCAGTTCCATTTTGACTTCAGTTCTATTCACCGTCATCCCAAAGAGAAGCACAGCCTGGCCAGATGTGTTTTCTTCTTTAAACTAAGAACTGTGAAGTTGGAGATTTTCGTCGTTTAACAACCAGATGACATCCTTTCAAAATAAGAGCACCTGCTGACGCTGCCGATTGTTACCTGGGTCGACCCTTCAGACGGGCTTTGAAACGCTGTGACCGCGGTTTCGACCAGCTCCAGCGCACATCCGAGGTCTTCAGACCTGGCATTTCCTGATCTACCTGGGAGGCCCCCACTGGGTACGTACACGGCAAAATAGCAGCTCATGTCATCACTTTATAAGCCTCGTGATATCTAGTCATAACAATCAAAGACTACCAGATTCAATGACGTCAGCCTAAGGAGTCTGAACCAACCACACACACACACACACACATCGAACATCACATTCATTTCCAAACAACACAGAGTTAGTCCTGATAGATTGTAGAATTTATAATAAAATTCTTAAACGATCCCAACTCTCTCTTTTCTTGTCTCAAGGTCAATACAGAGTGTTAAATGAACTCCCTGATGATAAAAACAACCTATTCTTCTGATTATAAAAACTAGATCTACTTACAGTATATTAAAATACAACTCTAGATCGTTACATCACTCTATTTCGTTACAGCGAGTAACGCCTAAATGAACTTGTTTTGCTGATAACCTGTACAGATGAGTGTCTAATGGTGCTGTACACATTACTTTAAATGTAATATTTCAGCCCAAAACCATAATTCTATCTCCATCTTCAGGTTAAAACTGCTCCACATTCATGTAGAACCAGCTGTGGCTGATGGCTAAGATGGAAAACGTGACGTTGTCAGTAAATGACTACGTGGCGGCACCGCACTGGTCTCCAGGTGAGGCAGCCGTACCTCCACCTGGCTCAGCCACTCACCTGCCGATATGACGCATTAGCGCTCTGAGCCAGTCGCCTGCTTGAGAAAACGCCCTCCTCCCCTTTTTCACCTGATGATCGCGTTTAACAGGAAATCGTCCAGAACGCTGCAGAATCTGCGTCTGCTCTTCTCCTGAGCGGTAAGTCTACCGAGACTGTGTGCTTACGTGCACAAGCAAGTGCGCATGCACTCGATTTTAGATTGATAAACTCCAACAGTGCACGCGGGGGGGTTGAGGGGCGTGCGGTCTATCACTGCCTCAGTGCCGTTGTCTCGGTCCGCCAGGCGACGCCTCTTTCAGAAGCGTTTTCCCAAAAGGAAGTGTGGACGAAATACGTCTCCACAAACACCTTGACTCCCACTTTAAATGAAGACCTGAAGCATTAGAAAAAGTTTTTATTATGTTGATAGCATCATCACCCGAGAGGAATCTTTTAAAAAGAAAGTAGTATCGTCCGCCAGCTGACTGATAACCATTTCCCTATCTGCAGACGTTATGCGTGCCGGAGGACTACATTTGATAGAATGACGGAGAAGTTGGGCACAGATCAAAATAAATCTGGAGAGAAAGGACGGCCGTGCCTGATGTCCTGTTTGAAGTGCACACTCAGATCTTTTGCTGCGTTCCAGTGCTCGGATTGTCTGAGCAGGAAATGATGTAACAGGCTCGTTTAGCGTTCCAGCTTTCAACTTGGAAAAACTGGATGCCACCAGTATTGTTGAGTACTAAAAGAACTTAACCAAAAGTACTTACCAAGTATTACATAAACATAATGTAATGTCCAGTAATGGTCAGTTTTCATGTACAGTTTAACCCCTTTAGTTTCTGGTCGCCATGGAGACAGGAGTCTGCAAGTGTTGCTTTAATCTGCCGGATCCTGCTATTCCATCAGCCCGGGCTCTCTGCAGCTCGGAGCACACGATAACAAAGTGTCAACAAACCGTTCCCTTCTCAAGGCCCTTCTGTGCCAAGCCTGGACTGTTTTAATAGGACTGCTTCAGGTTATACCTGCGTTGGTCATTCATGAAATGAAAATAACAAATGTCATATAGATAATAATAATGTTCAATTAATCTGAGTTTGAATCATTAAAATGAAATGAAGTATTACATTGAGTTATAGATTATAATGTTTGATATGACAAGGCAATCGTCACCCGCACCAGACACAAGGACAAGTTAAAGTTAAAATCATGACACGAGGATATTCTTTACCCCAGATCAGAGCATCCGGTATCTCACGAAGGCGTATTTTCTGAGGTTGTCTTGGTAACATCCCTTAACATGGCACACTCCGATTGGCCAAGTCAATCATAATATGAGAATATTAAAACAGAATCACTCGGGTGATTAAGCAGTTGCAGTCGGAGTCGCATTCCAGCTCCTCATCATCCAGCATCAGTTCTAGAGAACGAGCTCTGGAACGGCCGTCCGAAGCGACACTCTTTAACTCTTTAAAAACAACCCACAACGTACACTTTTAAGAGAGTTTACGGATAAAAGTTTAACAAAAAAGCCCTTGACCGCCTTCAGTTGGTCCAGAACTCTGCAGCGAGGCTCCTAACTGGAGCAAACAGAAGTGCACACATCACTCCTATTCTGATGTCTCTGCACTGGTTACCCGTTAACTTTAGAGTTTATTTTAGAGTCCTGACTAGAACTTTCAGGGCTCTGCATGGTCATGCTCCTCCCTATATTACTGACCTGTTAAAGCCTTATGCTCCAACCCGAGTCCTCAGGTCCACAAGATCCTTTTATTTAAAGCTGCTTTAACCTAAATTGAATTTGTAATCATCTTTCTTCTGTTTATGAAATGTTGACTTTATTTTCTCTGATGTTAATCTATTTCTGCTTGGAGACGATAATGATTTTATGACTTTGTTTTGTTTTGATCTGTGTGAAGCACTTTGTGATTCCGTCTGTGATTAGTGCTATAGACATAACATTTACATGATTTATTTTACTTGTCTGTTCGTTTGCTCGTTTGAATAACATCAAAGGACTTGGAGCTCAGGAACCAGAATCAACCGGAAGAACCGGGTTTATGGACAGAGCAGGAAGTACACTGAAAAACCTGCTGAGTCAGTTTAGTTCTGTTAAATGTACTCAAGGTTGTTATATTGAGCTTTTTCAGAGGAACTGAAATAAAATCACTGGGCCAGGTACCTTCTGTCATTTTCATTCGTCCCATTAATCCTGAAAACTGATGAAAATATATCTTTAAAGGAGATAAGCTATACAAATCTGACCTTTTGCATCCATGTCTGCTGCCTCTAGAAACACTCCATACATGGAAAAAAAAACCTGTTTTCACACACACACACACACACACACACACACACACACACACACACACACACATGCCTGTCAACAATAGAAGAGACTACGCTTGGCCACTCCTGGATATCTGAGCATCTCACCTCATAGTAGCCAATTAGGGGATGGGTGGGCATGGCTAGCAGCAGCGACTCATTCTGGGAGGTACTGAAACCCTTAAGAATAACACCGCCGACATCATTTTAGTTGTGACCAGAGAACTTTTGTAGTTTGTTAATAAAAAAGTAGAATGCCCCTTTTTCATTGATTCTAATTCAAGTCTAATCAACCTTTTAATCTTCTGCTGCCCAGTGAACCTGTTATTCACCGTTTAACATGTGGACAACACTTTGTTCTGCTTGGATTGCCGTTTTATTTTCTGACAAGGTTAGAAGAACCTGGTTTCACCACACAGAGACTCAGACGGAGAATAAAACCAGAGTAGGATGGGACACACGGTACTAGGGTGAGCCTGTAATACAAAACATTTTGTACAAATTTACAGAACAGAGAAACTGATGAAGATGTAGAGCAGCCTGGTTTCCTCCTCCTCATCCTCATCAGTCCTGCAGCTCAAACAGGGATGACCCGTTTCAGTTCTGAACAGGACATTTCAATCAGATCTAGATGTTTCCTTCTCCTCCGGCTGCAATATGTAGAGCAGAATAATCCCTCTGCAAAGACTGCAGTAGTTCCTCAGGGATGTGGACTTGGTCCTCTTTGCATGTCAGGTAACACACATAAGGGTGTGCTGCTGCACAGGTGTCTTCAGGCAGGTTTCTGCTTGGTTTTCTACTCAGAGGAAACCAATGGAGCAAATATACATTCAGTTTGAGGTATAACACAAGAGTGACAGGAACACAACAAAAACATTCTTCAGATAGAAGATCCAGGACCAAACTGACAACATCACCTCACTCCTTCAAAACAACACCGTCAACTTCAATTAGTAGTTCAGACATTTTTGATCGAGTGCAGATTAAATTATCAGTGATTTATCAATTAAATAAATCTACGACGTGGAGATTAATGAGAAAATAAAACATAAATAAATAGTAAAGTCAGCTTCACCAGAGCGTGTCGGACAACCAGCAGCTAGACGTTTGTGAACATGCTCAGTCAGCAGGAACTCAACTCCACACCAGAGGCTTCCATATCCGTGACAACAGCAAAGTTCCTGTAAAGTGCTTCAGTCACCAGCCAAGCCGGGCCAGTCCGGATATCCAATCAAAGGGTTCACCGTGTTCCAAGGAGGCGGAGCTTCAGACACAGCTGTTTAATTTTTAGATGCATGCTGGAAGGAGGTGGAGCTCATCGCCTCTGCAGGATAATCAAGTTAAACATCGTCGAATATTTGGTTCCGAGAAGACGACATGGACAGGTACCGTCCTCCGGTGTGCCTGAAAAAGCCGAACAGAACCGGATCAATCACGGACACACACCTAAAACCGAGACTAGGGTTGCAACGATCAGACATTTTGGTGGTATGGATAAAGTCTGAGAAATAATCACTATGTTACGTCACATCCGTATTAACAATCATAAATCACAAACACACACCAAATAAAGTGCACCATTACACTCTCTAAAGGCTCTGAAGCCCTGAAGATAACGACTGATCCTTTTCAGACATTCTGCTTAGAAACAAAGAGGTTCTGGAATTACGTAGAGCAGAGATTTGCTGCGGCTCTAAGCTAACAGACAAACGAAGAGGCGACAGTAATTCCCCATGGAAGCATCTGAGCAACCTAACAAGAACAGAAAGAGGAATTAAATACTGGAGTTGCAGCTATTACTGAGAGTCCTGCTACGGCAAACAGACGTAACCCTCTCAGGCTCTAAATAAGTTTTGATAAAAGGACGAACAGCTAAGTCCTTCAGGGGAACTTCTGAGTTAAAATGCTCATGAAATGACAAATGACTCGCACTTGTATAGCGCTTTACACTACAGTGTATCATTCATCCATTCACACACACATTCACACACTGACGGTGATGAGCTACGATGTAGCCACAGCTGCCCTGGGGCGCACTGACAGAGGCGAGGCTGCCGAGCACTGGCGCCACCGGTCCCTCCGACCACCACCAGCAGGCAACGTGGGTTAAGTAATAATAATAATAATAATAATAATACATTTTATTTAAAAGCGCCTTTCTGGTCACTCAAGGACACTGTACAGAATAAAAACACTAATCATTCAGTAAGTAAACATACATAAACATCAACAAACAAGGCACTCTAAAATTCAAAGCTGATATGTGGTTATGAAGGGGTGAGTTTTGAGTTGCTTTTTGAACTCTGTGAATGAGTTAATGTTCTTGATGAGAGGGGGAAGGGAGTTCCAGAGTTTGGGAAGGTTTATCCCTCGAGGTCCACGTGACGGGGTGAGGAGTGAGCACCACCTCGCCTCTGTCACGTGGACCTCAGAGGATAAACCATCAATCCTGCTCAACGGTCAGCTTTCCTCGCGGGGTCACCCGTTAGGACAGTGGGAGGGTTAAAAATGTATAATTCCAAGTTGAGAGGAATATTTAGGTTTGATGTTGGTGAGAAATATTAGTGAAAAAGGACATGTTTGTGAACTGGAAACACAGGATTTATAGTAAACAGGTAAAAAGATCACACACTGGGCCTTTAAAGACCTAAGATGCTAAATTCCTACTAGTGCAGTTGTAATTATGAACATCACTTGTTACTTAGATGTAATTTCTACTTGTTCTTTCTATTTTCTAAATTCATCAGTAGGAATATTTTTGGACATGGATAAATTATATTATTGTGTATAACAGGAATTACAGAGAGGTGTAGTTGATTAAATGTTAAGATGGCTTGCTGTAAAATACAGGGGAAAGTAGAATAAATCTACTAAATGAAGTCTCATTCACTGATTGTTCGAATATTACGGTTAAACCACTTCAGTCACTAACGTACTCTGACTCAGAGCTTATTTATCTGCGTGATGATGTCAGAGATGATAACAAGTTGGGGATAATGCAACTTTTTTTTCTGCTGGCTCTACATAGACAAGGCCATGTATTTGTCTACAGCCTGCTTCATTGGTGAATGACACCAGGAGGAACCAATCATGAAATATCTCCTGACCTATCAGGCCTACAAGGCCAAGGTCCCCTCACAAAAGACGAGACTTTTATCCAACTCTCTTTTGATAAAAATATCTTATTCTGGCTCATAAAATTATTCTCTACAGATTAAGAACCATTGCATTAAAAACGTTATGTTTTATCTACAGTGACTTAATAATGCCTGACTGCTTCACAGTAATGAACGAAATCTTTATTCTAGAATTGCTTTATTTCAGATCTTAAATACACTAAACTGGAGTGATGGTGGCACAGGAGTTAAGTGCTCGCCCCGTAATCGGAAGGTTGCAGGTTCCTTGAGGTCCATGTGGCAAGGGTGAGGAGTGAGCACCACCTCACCCTTGCCACATGGACCTCAAGGGATAAATCATGCCTTGGGCAAGACACTTAACCCACCTTGCCTGCTGGTGGTGGTGGTCGGAGGGACCGGTGGCCCCAGTGCTTGGCAGCCTCGTCCCTGTCAGTGCGCCCCAGGGCAGCTGTGGCTACATCGTAGCTCATCCCCACCTGTGTGTGAATGTGTGTGTGAATGGATGAATGATTGTGTTGTAAAGCGCCTTGGGGGGTTCCAGGACTCTAGAAGGAACTATATCAAATACAGGCCATTTTTTACCAAAAACACTAAATAAGTCTACTTGTGGACTTTAATCATGTTTTATTATCAGTATATTAACATATTAATATCGTTATATTAATAAATGACGGTTTCACATGTTTACTTCATATTAAATGAAACAGGCCTGCTCTAAGTGTTTGAGGAAGGAGGGATGCCTGAGGATCTTAACCACAGCATTTCACAGCGTGGTTAGTAGTCAAACTGGTTAATCCCTGCACCCCTACTGGAGATCTCAATAGCTATGGGCACAAGCGATCGGAATGGATGCCCTACCAGATCAACATTTCTTCTGGTAATCATGTCATGCAAAATACTCTGATCTGATGTGGCACAGACACGAAGATGCAGGTCAAAATAATGGCGGCAAGTAAACAGAAGTGGTCTGTTAGTGAACTGTAGTGTTACGTACCGCTGAGCCTGTAGCCTAGTTTAAGCAACCAGAAAACACAAAAGCATTCAGGTAAAAATTTCCTTAACGGGGTAAAACATATGTGAACAGACAAAGCTAGAGAATAGCAAAATGCGAACTTACAAACGCGCTTGATGCACGTCTACTCACCGCATGATCGGATCTTTTCAGTTAGTGTCCACGTAAACACAGATTTGGGATTTCCGATCAACCAAGATTTGAATCGGATTGAGAAATTTGGTTTGTGTAAATGTAGCTACTGTTAATCAGAACGGAACCAGTCCAAATAAACCCGACCAAAAACAAAAGTTCATGTTTACCTGCCCGAGTCGCTCTCCAGGGACTCGTCAGTCAGCGCGTCTGCATTAAAGTCTAACGGCTCTGCGTCCTGCAGGAGCTCGATGCAGTCCCTCTCTGCTCGACTTCCAGAGCGCGAATATTTAGCCTCTATAGACCAGAGACACGGGACAAGAGACATGGCATAAGAGACATGAGACACGGGACAAGAGACATGGCAAAAGAGACATGAGACACGGGACAAGAGACATGACATAAGAGACATGAGACATGGGACACGAGACATGGCATAAGAGACATGAGACACGGGACAAGAGACATGGCAAAAGAGACATGAGACACGGGACAAGAGACATGGCATAAGAGACATGAGACACGGGACAAGAGACATGGCAAAAGAGACATGAGACACGGGACAAGAGACATGACATAAGAGACATGAGACACGGGACAAGAGACATGACATAAGAGACATGAGACACGGGACAAGAGACATGACATAAGAGACATGAGACACGGGACAAGAGACATGACATAAGAGACATGAGACACGGGACAAGAGACATGGCATAAGAGACATGAGACACGGGACAAGAGACATGGCAAAAGAGACATGAGACACGGGACAAGAGACATGACATAAGAGACATGAGACACGGGACAAGAGACATGGCATAAGAGACATGAGACACGGGACAAGAGACATGGCAAAAGAGACATGAGACACGGGACAAGAGGCATGGCATAAGAGACATGAGACACGGGACAAGAGACATGAGACACGGGACAAGAGACATGACATAAGAGACATGAGACATGGGACAAGAGACATGAGACACGGGACAAGAGACATGAGACACGGGACAAGAGACATGGCATAAGAGACATGAGACACGGGACAAGAGACATGGCAAAAGAGACATGAGATACGGGACAAGAAACATGACATAAGAGGCATGAGACACGGGACAAGAGACATGGCATAAGAGACGAGATACGAGACAAGAAACATGAGACATTAGACATGGGACAAGAGACATGAGACATGGGACAAGAGACATGACATAAGAGACGAGATACGAGACATGAGAAAAGAGACATGAGACATTAGACACGGGACAAGATACACGAGAAAAGAGACATGACATATGAGACATGAGATGCAGGACAAGAAACATGAGACAAGAGACATGAGACATTAGACATGGGACAAGATACATGACATAAAAGACATGAGATACGGGACAAGAAATAAGAGACATGAGACACATGACAAGAGACAAGAGACATGAGATACGGGACAAGAAACATGAGACAAGAGACATAAGATACGGGACAAGAAATAAGAGACATTAGACATGAGACACATGACAAGAGACAAGAGACATGAGACATTAGACATGGGACAAGAGACATGAGATACAGGACAAGAAACAAGAGACAAGGGACATGAGACATTAGACACGAGACATGGGACAAGAGACATGAGATATGGGACAAGAAACATGAGACAAGAGACATCAGACATTTGACACAAGACATGGGACAAGAGACATGAAATATGGGACAAGAAACATGACACAAGGGACATGAGACATTAGACATGAGACATGGGACAAGAGACATGAGACAAGAGACATGATATACGGGACAAGAAACATGAGACAAGAGACATGAGACATTTGACACAAGGCATGAGACAAGAGACATGAGACATTTGACACGAGACATGGGAGAAGAGACATGAGACAACAGACATGAGATATGCGACAAGAAACATGAGATAAGAGACATGAGACATTAGACACAAGACATGAGACAAGAGACATGAAATACGGAACAAGAGACACGAGACATGAGATACAAGACATGGAAACAAGAGACACGAGACATGGGACAAGAGACATGAGACCCGGGACAAGAAACATGAGATAAGAGACATGAGACATTAGACACAAGACATGAGACAAGAGACATGAAATACGGAACAAGAGACACGAGACATGAGATACAAGACATGGGAACAAGAGACACGAGACATGGGACAAGAGACATGAGACCCGGGACAAGAAACATGAGATAAGAGACATGAGACATTAGACACAAGACATGAGACAAGAGACATGAAATACGGAACAAGAGACACGAGACATGAGATACAAGACATGGGAACAAGAGACACGAGACATGGGACAAGAGACATGAGACCCGGGACAAGAAACATGAGATAAGAGACATGAGACATTAGACACAAGACATTAAATATGGGATAAGAGACATAAGACAAGGGACATTAGACATGAGACACAGGACAAGAGACTTGAGATACGGGACAAGAAACATGAGACAAGAGACATGACATAGGGGATAAGAGACATGAGACGTGGTTGGAAAAATCTTGTTCTCGACCGTGAATTCAGGCCTTCTGACTCACGTCTGTCCCTGCTGGACTCTGAGTAACTTGTCTCCTTCATCTCATGGTTGCTGCGGTTCCTGGCTGAGAAGTCATCTCTCTGGTTTCCATAACGCTCTTTCCACTCCTGAAAAACACACACAGGGACTGGTTACTATGGGAACTCAAGAGCAGTCTGTAGGGAACATCTCTGCTTGGTGGCAGAAAGTCATGTGATGCAGATGTGATCAGCTGTTGGACACCGGGCTGTAACCTGAACAACCAGGTGTCTGTAACTCACTCTCCGTCTGTTCTCTCCATCCTCGGCCCTCTGGCGCTTCCTCCTCTCTAGGAAAGGAAAATATGCATTACTCGTTAATATTGGATCCATCCAGGTTGGGAACAGCGATGTTTTGGGAGTCTCACCGCGTCGGATCAGCTCCTTTCCCTCATCGATCAGGTCAGAGGTCATCTCACTGTCGTCCATGAACTGCTGGAAGCCAAGAAGGTTCAGGCAGCGAGTCCCTAGACTGAATCAGAAGATGAGAACCTGTTAGCGTCCCGGCGGAACCTTGTTGTGCTGCCGTGCTAAAGACTGATTCAACAAGAGCCTAACCTAGACGATGTTTGTATTATTGTTGATTTTATTATTTATTTATTCTGTAATAAACGAGCCCTGACCCAAAGAGTTTACCTTGTTTAAGGGTACCCATGCAAACCCAAATACCCAACCGATATCTTAATACTGACAGCAGGAGTTACACCGTGCATTTATAACACGGCTGCAACAACAAATCCATAAAGTTCAGTGAAGAAATGCACGGGCAACGCTTTCGTCATCGATTCGTTGCGTAACTTTTTTTTGTGTTGTGCAACCTTTATGTAAGAGTCGATGCACACAGCTCGTCTGATGCAGCAGCAGAGCAGAACCAGAGACACGTCTACGAGTGATTACTGTGTAAGGAAGATGCTTTACCGGCACACTCGGAGCTACTCTAGGTGCTGTGGAGGAAAACAGAGAAACCACCAGGACACCGAGGCAGAAACGGTCCGGGTTTGGGACCCGAGGTGTACCTACAAGCAGACTAGCTAATGCTAAAACACGATGGTTGTGAATCCACATCTAAACTCATCATCATCCTGTTCATCAGCCGTCTGCAGAGCTACGGAGCAGAGGTCTTCAGTATGGCAAGCCACTGTAGCATGTAATTCACAAATGCGTCTATGTGTGAACATAATTAAACTGGGTTATTGTTAACCTGTACATATAAGATATGCCACCATTAAATTATATATATCATAGAAATTAAATGTTATTAGCATTTCCAGTAGCTTATGCTAAAGAAATACATAAATGTTGCTGATCATAGTTTAATTACGGACATATGAAGGTGATGGCATGTTGTTTCACACGCCACTGAGCTGTTTTCTAATCATGTTCTGTTGTTAAAGTAAAGGAAGGAGAGGAAAATGTTTCCCTGGCCGTGTTTACATTAGAAAAATAAAAAAAATTTTATTGTGAGAATCTGCTGCTTCAGTATCAATCTGATACGTCAATAAAAGGAACAGATCCAGGATCGATTCCTCGAGTCGAGACCCCATCCGGCTAATCGATCATCCAAATAATCGTTTGTTGCAGCCATAATTTATAATATAAAATACATAAAAACACATAAACATGAATGTTTTAGTGAAGTTCACAGAATGTTGCACATTTATTATCTAGTCATGACCAGCAGCTGTAGGGGATGGGCAACGTGTCGCTCAGAGAGAAGAATTCATATTTATCAGTGTGAGGAACTTATTGGTCCTTGGCAGACACGTGACCTGCATGTCAACCACACCCCCTTAGCGCCATTTTAGGTGTATGACTGGCGTTGCTAGGGGATGAAGCAGAAGAAGAGTTAAATGGATGGATAAAAAGAACGAGGATGAAAACATCCCTACAGGAATAAACTTCTGAAGGAGACTAAAGATCTTCAAAAATGTCAATAGTCGACATCGTAGATCTCTACGACCTCAAAGGAAACAAACGGAGCTCAGACGTTTCATTACTGCTGAAAATACGTCACCTGAGTAAGCGTAGTACTACTTCAACATATTTATAATAAAGTAAAAGTAAAAAGTTGCCGTCCAGAAGCATGACTCCACTAACAGGAGCTGCCCCAGGTTTCATGTCTGGATGAGCCTTAAACACGTTATCACGGTGCTTCACATTTCACTGATCTAGGACCTTTGACCCTGGAGACCACGCTGTTCTAAAACAAAAGCTTCTCCGTTGGGATTGTCTGAACATCGTGGTTCACAGACTACTAGAGGGACAGAACTCGATGCGTTAAATGTGATGGGTTGTCCTCTGAATGTTTGAGTGTCCACAAGGGAGTACCACAGGGTTCAGTCTTGGGACCTCTCTTGTTCATTATGTATATTAATGACAGGACAACATGTGTGTGATGCTAATTAGCACTTTTATGCTGATGACACAATCATTTACTGTTGTGGACCAGCCCCCACTAAAGCTGCTGAATTCTTACAGAAAGCTAGCCTAGTGAACTAGCCCAAATTCTTGCTTTGCAAAGTTTGGTCTAGACACGCTCCACTGGAACCTCTGCAGCCCCTAACAGCATTCTGGCTGGCCAATCACAGCTCTCTAGAGGGGTTTCAAACACATAAAGATCTGTGATTGGTCCATAATGGTGGGCCAATCATAGTGCTCTATCTGCTTAGTGAACAAATAACAGAGCTTCATCTGCTTTGTGGGCCAATCAGGGCACTCTATATGCCTGGTGGGTGGGATGATGCAACAGAGTGAAACAAGATGGCGACAGCTCGTTTGAAACGGCTTTTACATCCATGTTGGACTATTAGAACTTGGGCTTCGTTAGAATCAGGAGAAGATAGATGTATTTAAGTGTTTTTTTTAGAAAAAAATATGTGTTTTCTCCTTCAACTGCGGACCGCCTCATTTACCGATAGCTGTTGCTGTGAGTATGTCACATTCATTGTCCAGTAGCATGCGGAGATCATTTGAAGGACAACGGTAGAACCCGCCCCACAACCGAGAGCCGTCAATGGAGCATTGCCAGACCAAATAATACATTTATTTAGTCTGGCTTGCCAGGCTAACAGACATCTTTAATGAGGTCCAACAAACACTTCTGCAGTTAAGATTGGTCATCAGTGCAGACAAGACCAAGCTAACGTTGGTTTCTAACCCTAAACAAGACCTCTAAGGATGCACTCAGTGACCACTGTTGAGGGAAACATCATGGAGGTGGTCCACACATGCAAACACCTTGGTGTCTGGCTCCATGACTCCCTCTCCTTCAAGCCCATGTAGATAATCTTGTGGAGAAACTCAAACTCAGACTGGTTTCTGTTTTCTAAACAAACCGACTGGTTGCAGGGGTGTCCAATCCTGGTCCTGGAGGGCCGGTATCCAGCAGGTTTTGTGGTTTTTCTGCTCCAACAGGCTTGATTCAGTGGTTGAAACACCTGTGCAGCAGCTCATCAGGCTCTGCAGAAGCCTATTAATTAGCTGCTGATTGAAATTAGGTGTGTTGAAACAGAGTTCAAACTAAAACATGCAGGATACCGGCCCTCCAGGACCAGGATGTTCTGGATTACGGAGACCTTTAGTACATGAATGCCTCAGCACAGCGTCTTGGTAAGGTTGATGTGGAAATACGACAAAGTCGCTAAGTTGGTAAAACTGTGGGAGGGGCGCTTGATTTACAACTCGGAGCAGCGCAAGAGGGGGGAGCAAATAATGGGCTTGTTTTGTTTTTATAATCGTAATTCTGATTAAAATTCGATTAACCGAGCGGCATTAACTCAACTATATGTTAACTAGCCTAACTAGTCTGCACAAACAGAAGACAACCAGAACACGGCAGCCTGTAGTTGGCTCCTCGGTCCCCAGGCGCACCAGGACCTGACCTGAAGTAGGTGGCGATGCAGAGGATGACGATCAGCATGGGGTAGTAGATGTAGAAACCGTTGGCGATGAACGAGAGGACCCTCATGGAGCCCATGATCTGAAACACAAAGAGAACGTCAGCAGAGTCCGGAGGCCTGGAGCAGGTCCAGACGGTTCTTACTGAGGTGTAGGCGGTCTGCAGCTTCTGCTGGTGGGAGATTGCTGAGTCCATGTGGATCAGACCCAGGAAATTGAGACAGAGGGGAGGAGTCAGACGACAGAAGAGCCTGAAGAGAAGAACTGAGAGTCAGACACAATCCAGGTGATCCTACAGGTGAGACGTCCCGTCACTCACATGCCACTGAACTGGAGGCTGTAGGCGTCTGTCTGGTGGTGGGAGGCCAGGTAGTAGTAGTTAAAGACCCGGATACGGAACACCGTGGAGTAAACGCAGGTGCACAGGAAGAAGATGGTGATGAAGCACGCCATCTGGTGGAGAAAAGAAACATCTCAGCTGATCAGAGGTCAGACCCCTCCCAGACAAGCCTGGACCAGAGTCCAGAGAAGAAGACACAGGACCAGAAGACGTGTCCTCTGCTGTTAGCAGGGTTGCTAACAGCAGCACTTGGTGTCTGAGTCCTTGCCGGCTGTAAGCTGCGTGACGTTGCTGTGCTGTTTTCATACAAGAAACAAACGTTATTGATGTAGACGGACTTACTGAAATTTAAACTACGCCTTTTTTTTCTATTAGGAAATCTCGTCTCAGGATGAATTTAAAGTGATGTTTGTAGTTTTAAAGGTATTGGCCAGACTCGGCGTCGTCTCTTTCCGGAGTATTTCTCTTATTCGATGGAGCCATCTAGTGGCTGACAAGCATATCACACTCGAGTTTGTTTAAGATAGCGACTTAACGTTTCTGGTTATAAACGTGCTTCTGTAGCGACAAACAGCTAAAACACGTTTTTATGAGTATTATTCTCATGTCCTGTTGTGTTCTCATTTATTTATATCTTAGAGACTTTCTTGTCCGTGAAAAGTTTATCAACTCTGCATCAGCCGAGGTTTTCCCTACATTTGAAGCATGTAAGCCGTAGTCTAACGCTATTGGCTAG